GACAGGTATTACAAGGAGAAGGTGACTTTTCAGGACATTACCCCATGTCCCCATTTTTCAAAACGCTTATAAATCACACAGAGTGAGTTTTTTTGAGAAAGTAAAAATGCAGTTTCCTGTAAGGGGTAGGTTACGTGTAGGACAATAGCACATACAGTTTGTACAGTATAAAAACTGTGTGTGTGTGTGTGTGTGTGTGTGTGTGTGTGTGTGTGTGTGTGTGTGTGTGTGTGAGTGTGTGAGTGTGTGTGTCTGTGTGTGTGTGTGTTTGTTAGCTTTAGTTTGCACACAGATTCATCTTCAGAGTGAACTAAATCTGACAAAACCTTCTTTTAGGGACATTTGGGAACATAATCGACCGGAAAGATGACTCAAACCTTGTTTTGTCTTTTAACTCAATCTCTGCAAACAGTTTATGGTGTGGTGTGGGTCAGTCCGCACATGAGTTAATAATGTGTCGTATGTGTGTGTGTAGGTGCTGCATTACCTGGCGCTGCAGAAGCCGTCGGATCTGACTCTGCACCTGATGCCCTGCGTGCTGCACGCGGCTCTGCTCAAGATCAAGGAGGAAGGTTAGTGTGTATCTCTGAACTGTAAATACAGTGTGTGACATCACTGCCGCTGTAAACATGATCTCTCCTCCAGAGGCGTCTGAAGACATCGCGTCAGTGCGTAAGGCGCTGCAGCAGGTCACCGCTCACGCCAGCAAACTGCTGCGGCACCCCAACCCTGACTTCAAGAAGCTGGAGGTGAGTGTGAGACCGCGTATCGGCCGCCGCCGCGCTCGCGAGTGAACCCCTGTGTGCTCTGTGTTTCAGGACCTCATTCTTCAGATGAGCGCGGTGGAGGCCGTCATCGCTCGCGCCCGATCGCTCAAGGCCAAGTTTGGCATCGCTGGAGGAGAGCGAGAGGAAGACGCTGACGAGCTGGAGAGGTAAAGCTTGGATGCACAATATTATCAGCACGTCATTCACTCTCAGAGCAAAAGGTACAAAAGCTGTCCCTGAGACGGTACCTTCTCAAAAGTTACACCTTTGTACCTTATTTACCTCTAAAGCGTGCATATTAGTTCCTTAAAGGTATGTATTAATAGCTAAAGTGTACATACTAATTGCTAAATGGTACATATTTGTACCTTTTGAAAAGGTGCCGCCCCAGTGACCGCTTTTGTACCTTTTATTCTGAGGTTTAAAAATTAATTATCGACATCAGCCTGATCATTTTTACCATATTCATTTGCAGATAAGATGAAAAGAAGGAATTGCATTGATGGGATTTTTGTTTAGAAAAATCTGCATCTGCTCAATGAGGAATAGATTAGTTTAATATACAAGTGTTTTTTTTTTTTTTTTTAGTATCATTGATAAACTGTTATAGTTTTATTTAAAAAATGTACATTTTTATGAAGGAGCACCCCAGTAACAAATATTTTGAATTAGAATTTATTTTTCTATTTTCGGTTTTCATTTTTTATGAAAGGGCATCCGTAGTAAAAAATAATTTTAAATAAATTTTTTGTATTTTCTGTTTTAATTTTAATTTTAAAGTTTTAGTAATTTTGTTGTCTGTTTTTGTCATTTTTATTAGTTATTTTAAATTGTATTTCTGTTTATTTTAAATATGTCTATATAGTTGTTATTAAGTTGTAGTTTATAGGTAATTAATTTTAGTTATTTTAGTACGTCAACTTAAGCTAAACGAAAACGAGAAATGTTGCCTGGGCAAGTAGCTGAAAAAATAAGTTTTCTATAGTTTTATGTTTATTTTATTTCAGGAAATGCAAATGTTTTTTATGGATTTAGTTTTAGTTAAAGATAGTATCTATATACTGTAAGGCTGCAGTCAGTATGTTTTATCAGTGCCCATTGGTTTAGTTTTTACAGTGTAAAGTAGCCACAGTATGCTCATACTTTTTGAATGAATTTAGTGAATTTTCTAAAGTTAAAATTACGGTGCTGTTGGTGATCCGGCCAGTTCAGTTCATTCATTATTCAAGCTTTTCCAGCCTTGTTCATTGTTCTCTGAATAAATGATTTAGCTGAGGTCTAATCAGCCAAAATGAGTGGGAAAATTTTGGATATCGGCACAAATCTGATACTTGCTTTTAAGCACTGCTTGCTTTTGATAAAAGCTTCTTCCAGATGCATAAATGTGAATGTATGATTATTCTGTGACTTCTAATGTTAGTGAAGTTTTCTTGTTCCAAAAACCGTCAGAAGTTAGTTTTTCAGCATCATGACACAATCTCTGACCAAAAAGCAATAATTCAGCCAGAAATGATCAGTCATTTGTTTCTCCCTCATGATCTAAACCTGTATGACTTTCTTGTGTCTGTGGAACATAAAAGAAGAGATTTTGTCATTCAGTGAAAGTCAGTGTGCTCCAGTGTTGTTTGGTTCCCAGTGTTCTTCAGAAGACAGAAAGTCACGCGGTTTGGAAGTAAATGTGTTGAACTCGGTGTTTGATAATGAACACGCGTGATCTGTGAGCAAGACGCCGCTGCTGTCCCATCGACTCTGGACTCTCCTGAACATGCTGAATCTGCCTTTAAAGCGCGTGTGTGTGTGCGTTTGGAGCAGTGTGTGTGTGTGTGTGTGTGTGT